TGCTGTGTGTCCTAACAGAACTCAGCATAGAGCTCACAGATTTTTTTCCATTGTTTTACATTAGATTAAACCATATAAAACTGCAGATATTCATTGTTTTGACCTATGAAAACATCAAGTTTACAGAGCTCAACTTAATTCTCAGCTACATAATGTATTTGACTTGCTCGCCAATTGTAAGCAATTTGAAGGTAAAAGCCTATACATTATTTGCCTTTCTATCTTAAGCAAATAGTATGCAGGACTAGAGAAATAGTATACATAGGATAAATAATTGCTAAATTTAGATGAATGAATGAGTGAACCTCTCTCAGAAATCAATACATTTAAATTCTGGTATCAGCCCAGGGTAAGACAAATATTCCATTCAAAACAACGCTGTTGTTTGGCTTTGTATTTTTAAGTTGTATTTAAATAATTACAAATATCTAGATAACTACATATTTTACTTTTCCGGTGGAAGTTGTGATGAGCATATATAGTTTGAAACTGAAATATACAGCTATAGAATTTCTACTTTTCTGTATGCATTATACACCATCCAAATAAAACTATTAAAACTAGTAAAAACTATTCTAGTCATGCCAAAAGTTATGGCATAACAAATGTGTAAATTCCTGCATTTAAGTGTTTATATTAACAATTATATTTAAATGTTTATATTACATTAATTTCCAAAGGATGGATCTATCAAACATCCTTCTCATTAGAGCTAAGGAAAATAGGATGTAGTTATCTCTAGGAAAAAGGCAAACTTAGCACAATGTCTCACACCTGTAATCAGCACTTTGGGAGGCAGAGGCAAATGGATCACCTGAGGTCAAGAGTTCAAGCCTGGCCAACATGGTGAAACTACATCTCTATTAAAAATACAGAAAATTAGCTCATCATGGTGGTGGGCTCCTGTAATCCCAGCTACTTGGGAGGCTGAGGCAGGAGAATTGCTTGAACCCAGGAGGCAGAGGTTGCAGTGAGCCAAGATCATGCCATTGCATTCCAGCCTGGGTGGCAGAGTGAGACTCCATCTCAAAAAAAAAAAAAAAAAAGAAAGAAAGAAAGAAAGAAAAATAAAAAATAAAAAATGCAATGCACAGCAGATTATAATTTAAGAAACTAAAAATTTCTTCAATCTCTTTTCCAGTTTTGCACTTTTAAAGATACCGTTATTATCACATGCTTTTTAGAAAACGATACTTCTTGTATTATTTGTTGCCTATTAATTTGCATGGCTTTTCATCTAACCAAAACCCACTCCTCCAAAGCTTACAGTACAGCCTGTTCATGGGGCGGAGAGACCAGCCTGGTGTGCAGCCTGCAGTGTGGGGCCAAAGAGTGACCTACAAAAGTGCCTCATTTGGGACTCCTCATACTACAGTCAAAACAAGGGAACATTCTATTATGAAGCATGCGACATTCTAGGAACAATAAAAGCTACTGTTTCTAGAGCTCCTGCTGTGTATGGCCAACATTTTACATAATCCTCACAGCAATCCTGCAAGATAAATATCACCATCCACTTATAGCTTAGAGAATTTAAAGAGTTTTCCCATGTCACTTAGCTGGAATCCAGGTCTCACATGCTGGAAAGCCCCCCCATGCAGTGATATCACCAGCCTTCCATTCCTTTAGGAGACACTGAACAGACTTGCTCTACAGTTGGCATTTGTGCTAGGCCTTGTGCCTTGGCCTCAGGAAGCTTAATGTAGGCAAGATACAGAATAAACAAATACCTTCCCAGAGGTACATTGTCCAGGAGTGACAAGGTACCATGCGGAAAAACCAAGCAGAGTCAATGGAATGACATGTGAAAATGGCAGCTCTTTAAATTGGGTAGCTAGAGGCCTCTCTGACTCTCTGAATAGGTGCTCTGTGAGCAGAGGCCTGCTGAGTAAGGGCGTGAGATGTGCTGATTTTGAGAGGCAAGAATAAAGCCCTCAGGTGGCATCCTTAGAAATACCCCGACATAGAACTAGCGGGGTGGCATTCAATCAAATTGTTTTCTGTTAATTTACCTTCAATCAGATTATGTTCAACCGACTTACCTGAGGCCTATCAGGTTACTCTCAGGGAACCTTTTTTTTTTTTTTGAGACAGAATTTCACTCTTGTTGCCCAGGCTGGAGTGCAATGGAGCGATCTTGGCTCACTGCAACCTCCGCCTCCCGGTTCAAGCGATTCTCCTGCCTCAGCCTCCAGAGTAGCTGGGATTACAGGCATGCACCATCACTCCCAGCTAATTTTGAATTTTTTTTAGTAGGGACGAGGTTTCTCCATGTTGGTCAGGCTGGTCTCAAACTCCCAACCTCAGGTGATCCGCCTGCCTCGACCTCCCGAAGTGCTAGGATTACAGGTGTGAGCCACCGCACCTGGCCTGGAACGTCTTTGCTATATACCATGTTCACTTCCCAAAAGGAGCACTTCTTATGGGTATAGGAAAATGTGTGCGGAGATCAAGCCTTGCCTTCCATCTAAGCCTGACATTTTGCCAGTGCAGTCATTGTGAGTGAGTATAACCCAGCTTTTCATGGAATCATTGCCCTCTGGAACCTGGACAGGGCTCTGGGTCTTCCTCTTCGCTCTGCAATTAACTCTGGAAATCCCAGCAAGCTGCCTCAGGGGTGAGCTTGATCACAGTGCACTGCCTTGCACCAGAGCTTCCATCCCTTTATAGAAAGCTTCATATGTCTGCATTGCTGGGGGAGGCAGCAAGGCAACTTTGCATCAGTGGAACCCACTCATGCCTTCTTGCTCAATGAAGGTGCACACCTTTTCTGGGGAATATAAAGACCAATAAAACATTTCAGTTCTCAAATTTGTGATCTAGTGGAGGAGACAGTACTCCTACAATGATAAATGCCAGCAGTGGTGCACAGTCTAAGGAAATATGAAAGAACAAGAGGTTGCTTTTAATTGGACATTGAATCAGGCACCCTGTAAAATGTCTAGCAAAGAACCCAGGACTTAACATTCAATACATACTAGCTGTTCCTCTTATTAGGATTGGCTTCACATAAGAAGCAGAATTTCAGGCAAGGTAGGATTTCCAGATAAAGTACAGGATGTCCAGTAAAGTTTGAATTTTAGATAAACAACAAAAAAAATTAAGTGTGTCTCCAATATCACAAGACATACTTATATTAAAATAAATTTCTTGTTTTTCTGAAATTCAAGTTTAACTGGGACATCCTTATTTTTACTTGCTATTTGTACCAACCTAATACATCTGGCAAATCTAAGCTGAAGATTTTTTTTTTACTTTTACTGAAGTATAATCGAAAAGGAAAAATTGTAAAATTTAGGTTACACAGCTTGATGTTTGTTCTTTTTTTTTTTCCTTTAAAGGGGAACTTCTCTCTGATTGGTGTTTTGATACACACATGTATTGTGAAATGATTACTGCAATTAATCTAATTAGCACATAAAACACCTCATATAGTTACCTTTTTTGTGGCTGAGAAGACTTAAGGTCTACCTTTTTAGCAAATTTCAAATGTACAGCATAGTATTATTAACTACGGTCACCATGCTGCACATTAGAACTCCAGAACTTATTTATATTACATAACCAAAACTCTGTGCCCTTTGAGCGACATGTCCCCCATTTATCCTATGCCTCAGCCCTGGCAACCACCATTCTACTCTCTTCTTCTGTGAGTTTGACTATTTTAGATTTCACATGCAAAAGAGATCATGCAGTATTCTTTCTTTCCCTTTCTTCCTTCACTTTTTTCTTCCTTCCTTCCTTCCTTCCTTCCTTCCTTCCTTCCTTCCTTCCTTCCTTCCTTCTCTTTCTTTTCTTTCTTCTTTCTTCTTTCTTTCTCTTGCTTTCTCTCTTTCTTTCTTTCTGGATTCTCGCTCTGTGGCCCAAGCTGGAGTGCAATGGTGCAATCTCAGCTCACTGCAACCTCTGCCTCTCTTGTTCAAGTGATTCTCCCAGCTTCAGGCCCCCAAGTAGCTGAGATTACAGGTGCCTGCCACCATGCCTGGCTAAGCAGTATTTGTCTTTCTGTATCTGCTGATTTCACTTAGGATAATGTCCTCTAGGTTCATCTATGTTACTGCAAATGACAGAATTTCCTTCTTTTTCAAGGCTCAGTCATACTCCATTGTGTATATGTATACCATATTTTATCTACTCATCTATCAATGGGCACTTAGGTGGTTTTCATATCTCAGTTATTGTCAATAATGCTGTGATGTACATGGGAGTACAGATATCTCTTCAAGATCCTGATTCTATTTCCTTTGCAAATATACTCAGAAGTGAGATTGCTGGCACGAAAACAGGAAAGAAATCATATTTTTCATGGCACTTTATGCTCTACCATAATTGACTGAGTACTTCCTATGTGAGTCACTGACAGTCACTGTTCTGAGGGATTTACAATAATTAACTCATTTATTCTTCACAAAAACATGGAGTAGCTTATCAGCATCCTTATTTTATAAATGAGGAAACTGAGGTATAAAGAGGTAAAATAACTTGTCCAAGAACATAGAGCTGGGAAGTGGTGCAGCTGGGATTATGAACCCAAGATGTTTGGCTCATGGGGCTGCTGTCATCTTAATATTTTAGAAAGAGAAAGGTAACCTGTCCTACATATGCTTATAGAAGGCCTTCAGGGCCAGCTTATCACCAAAGTCATATTTTAGCCAGATCACCCAACCCTAATTTCTGCAAAAGTGAAATATTGTTTGCTAAATCACTACCACAAGGGGCTACAGCTCGCTTACCTAAGCACCTTCGATATCCTTTCAAGTATAGAAATATGGATATACCCTCCTATGCTCCTCTTTTCGCTCTCAAAGCCTCCCTGTTCCTGGAGTGTGAGATCTTCTCCTGATTGCTGGCTGGAGAATCAAATGCTGTCTTTGCAACAGATTATCGGAAGCAAACAAGCTGAGGGGAATTGAGCAAGAATTTCTGGGACACCAACAGCATAGGAGGAACAAAGCATGTAGACGGAGAGTTGATTTTCGACATAGGACAAAGCCAATGATTAACCAAACCTCTGACAGGTTTAAATAGGATGGACACCAGGAGTGGAAGCAATCCTTTCTTTCAGCTTGAGTGCTCCTCATGAGCCAGCCCCACCCTCAGAAAATATGTTTTCCATGAGGATCTTCTGCCTGGTCCTAAGTGTGGTGGGCACAGCATGGGTATGGTCCCTTTCATTTTCTCTTCTTTCTTTCTCTCTGGTTTTATTCCGTGAAGAGCTTGGAGGTCTGAGCCTACCCGTGCTGTCCTGACACACTCTTAGCTTTATTTACTCCAGGCCTGAGAGGAAAGTTCTGGATGGCCTTGGCACCTCAAGAAAACAGGGTAATATGGCTCCAAGAGGAAGATCTTAGACGAATGAGTGTGTACAAACTCACAGGGAAACTTTAGCATTTGTCATGCAGTCTCACCACATTTTGTTTTGTTTTGTTTTAAAAAAGGGCAAGAATTCTTTGCCATCTTTGTAGCTATAAAGCCTTGGAGCATTATAATGCTAGTTAATGCAATTCTATGGTAAGTTTTTTTCTGTAATTATTGATTTCTTGCTATTTGCTGATTATTAAGTTCTTGCTATAATAAGCAGAACTTTTAGTTTTAGTACAGTTTTGCTGATAGGCTGTTTTTGTGTTTGTCAAGACAAAAGAAAAAGCAAATGAATGCTCTTTGAAAACATCTTTGCAGTATCAGAAGAGATTAGTAAGGCAATATGCTTTTTGGAAGTAATGGTAGTCTTTTGAATTATGAATTCATCTCTAAAGGTTACAGAGCAACTTGTAAGAGAGAGGAACATTAGGTTAAGATGGTGTGGGTTCTTTCTACTGAAGCAGTAAGAATTACAGGAGAAAGAGCTCTATAGCTTTCAATTTTCTTTCTGTCTGCAGTCATTTGTAAAACCGAAAAACTAAAATTTAACTGATTTTATGGATTCAAATAATTTTCCTTTTAGAATGGATCTTTTTAATCTCCTAATATTTATCAAATGCTTATTTCATGTCATACACAGTTAAGAAATTTGTACGCCTTACCTCCTTTAATTCTCATAACAAGGGGTCTTAGGATTTCCATTTGAAGTTAGAAACCTGAAGCTTGCAGATGCCCTGCGGCTGGTGCCTTGATCTCTGAGAGTTGCCATCTCTTCCTTGGGACTTGTAGACATGCTGATGTCTCCTCTTCTGGCTAACGTTGCTGTTGCTCTTTTTTGTGTATGTGAATGAATCTTTAAAGACTACAGATACCGGTGAAGGTGAATTTCTAGCAGCAGGAGGAGGAGTGCGTGGCCCAAGGGTTGTGGAAAAACAGCAATCTGTCTGCAAAGATTCAGACTGGCCCTTCTGCTCTGATGAAGACTGGGTAAGCAGTGAGCTAGGAAGCAGGAGAATCCTTCCCTCTGATACTAGAGGGGGTGTCACAGGCTGACCCGATTGGTCCCAGAAACTTTTTTAAATAGAAAATAATTGAATAGCTCCCTACATACCAAAGAAAGAGAAGGAACCTAGTCCCAAGAACACTGTCTAATTACCTCCCCAACTCTGGATCATGACTGGGGGAATAGATTGGATTTTAGTTGCAGGCTGAGGCAATACTAGGCACCTGAGTATTGTGGCCTCAATTTCCTGGCACCTAATCTATGGCTAAGTGGACCCTCATGCCACAATTTCTCTACGACCTCTAACTAGTCCCCTTACCTACGTTTAAGCCAACTGATCTGGAAGAGATAGGGTAGGAATAAATGGGGGCTGCATGGGAACATGCAAAATTATGCTGATCCAAGAGATAGAACCTTACTGTAATTTTCCCCCTTCACTTTCAGAACGATAGATGTCCTTCTGGCTGCAGGATGAAAGGGTTAATTGATGAAGTCAATCAAGATTTTACAAACAGAATAAATAAGCTTAAAAATGCACTATTTGAATATCAGAAGAACAATAAGGATTCTAATTCATTGACCAGAAATATAATGGAAATTTTGAGAGGCGATTTTGCCTCAGCCAATAGTAAGTATTACACATTTACTGCTTTGACTTTATAACAGAAACAACAAAAGTCCTAAATGAATACGATGTCTGCTCTTAGCTATGACACTTTCGTCCCAAACTACTTAGTACAGAAACACATGTCTTCATAATATCCCTGAAAAGTGTAAGGGGGAGCTTTTGTTTTTGTTAATTTTTCAAAGTAAAAGACGTTAACTGAGATTGTTTAAGGTGACAAAATAAGTCTGAATTTTGGATTAAAAACAAGAATTTAAGTGTGTTCTTTTCAACAGTATATACTGAAAGCAGAATGGGCCAGATTCTTGGATTTGATACTTTTGTTTCTACCTTGCAGGGGAGAATACTGAGAGGTCAAAGAACATTCTCAAAGACAGAGAACTGGGAGTTCAACCCCCAGACTCTTGATCTGATTAGGTAGATTTTTCCATTTAAAATACAGAGTCAAGCTATATCGTTCTCATAGTCTACTCATTAGGGTTAGGAAACATTGCATTCCTTCTGGGCATGGGCAGCGAGTCTGGCGAGGCCTCAGTTTCTGAAGTTTTGCTTTGCTCTTTACACCTTCATAAACACCTAACATTTAAAATCAGTGATGAAACACTAGCTGGCAAGTGAGTGATCCTGTTGACCCAAAAAAGCTTAGGAACAATTTCATATCTATAGATAAAAAAAAAAACCACTCATCAGTAATGTTCTGGAAAATCTTACCCGACAAGAAACCCAAGTGGCACTAAGGGGATCGGAGGAACACACTTTATTATGCCGGCGGATCCAGAAGGGTTCACACCCAAAAGTCTGGACCCCAGCTAAGAAAAGTACACAGTTTTTATATGTAAAGGGGCAGGGAGGAGTAACTGAGGATTTTAGACAATGCAGCAGGTTTTAGACAACGTGGAGTTTCTCTTAAGATTTTCCAGTTAGTAAGCAAAAACCTGAGGCACAGAAGCAGAAAGAGGCAGTTACTAACAAAAATCGGGTCAGTGTCAAAAATAGGGACGGTTACTGACAACGTGCTGACAAAATCCTGGGCAAAATTTCCACTTTAGTCAGAATATTCAATATGTTCAAGTCCTTTGATTAAGGATATTATAAAGTAATTGGAATGCAATTAAACCAATTATTTTAACTCCAAATTACACTTTTAAAATTCCAAAGATATTTCTTCTTTTATACTTATTTCGGATTACGAGTTGCTATTAGGACATCTTAACTGGCATAACATTATCCAAAAGTCAAATGCCTCATAGGTTTTGAACTCACAGATTAAACTATAACCACAATAAAATTGGGAATATTTACAAGCAAATTTTCTTCCTTCTTTCTTCCTTCCCTCCCTCCCTCTCCCTCCCCCCTCCCCTCTCCCTACCTCTCTCCTTCCCTCCTTCCTTTCTCCCCTCCTTCCCTCTTTTCTTCCTTCCTTTCTTTTTCTTTCTTTCCTTCCTTCCTTTCTTCCTTCCTTCCTTCCTTTCTTTCTTTCTTTCTTTCTTTCTTTCTTTCTTTCTTTCTTTCTTCTTTCTTTCTTTCTTTCTTTCTCTCTTATTTCTTTTTCTCTTTCTTTTCCTTTCTCTCTTTCACTCTCTCTTTCTCTTTCTTTCATCTTTCTCTCTCTTTGCCTGTCTCTCCCCACCCCCACCCCGCTTCCCTCTCTCTCTTGCTTACTTGCTGGCAATTACAGGCAAATCACTCAGCAGCTACTTCAATAACCGTATTTTCTATTTCAGACCGTGATAATACCTATAACCGAGTGTCAGAAGATCTGAGAAGCAGAATCGAAGTCCTGAAGCGCAAAGTCATAGAAAAAGTACAGCAGATCCAGCTTCTGCAGAAGAATGTTAGGGATCAGCTGGTTTACATGAAACAACTGGAGGTAAGTTGGTGGCTCTGCCCCCAGATTTCCTTGTTTCTGAATAGCAGGGAAAAGGAAGGCAGTAGTTATATATTGAGTGTCTACTACGTGCAGAGAAAAGTGTTATATCCATTATCTACCTAAAAGTAGGTATTATTTTCCCCACTCTATAGTTGAAGAAAAAAATTCAGAGACACTAAGTAAATTTTCCAAGAGTACATAGTAAATTTCAAAACCAAATGTACAGTCCCTGTATAATTCCAAAGCCTGTTACATCACCACTCCTCTGAGCCTTCAGCCTGAGTTTCACCAAGGATCATTTAATTAGTGTTTCCTTTGAGAGGGAATAGCACCTTACTCTTGATGCATTCTGAGGCTAAGATGAATCAAATAGCACCCACTGCTTATCCCGGCTAGCCTTGCAATACCCAACATCTCTTCCACTGAGGATGCTAGAATTCCAGAAAGCAGAGAATATTAAGTGATAGGTCCCCAAGTCAAAGAAATGAAAGCAGTTTCCAGAAGGAAAATTAACTATCAGGAACTCAATAGACATAATTCATGTATTTGGATCTACTTTTTCTCTTTTTCTCTCCTCTTTCTAGGTGGACATTGACATTAAGATCCGATCTTGTAAAGGATCCTGCAGCAGGGCTTTAGCTCGTGAAATAGATCTGAAGGACTACGAAGATCAGCAGAAGCAACTTGAGCAGGTCATTGCCAAAGACCTACTTCCCTCTAGAGATACGCAACACTTACCACTGATAAAAATGAACCCAGTTTCAGACTTGGTGTCCAGAAATTTCAAAAGCCAGCTTCAGAAGGCGCCCCCAGAGTGGAGGGCATTGACAGAAATGCAGCAGATGACAATGGAGTTAGAGAGACCTGGTGGAAATGAGATTGCGGGAGGACACTCCACCTCTTATGGAACCGGATCAGAGACGGAAAGCCCCAGGAACCCTAGCGGTGCTGGAAGCCGGAACCCGGAGAGCACTGGACCTGGAACTACTGGAAACCGAAACCCTGGGAGCTCTGGATCTGGTGGTACCGGAACCTGGACACATGGGAGCTCTGGATCTAGTGGTACTGGAACCTGGACACATGGGAGCTCTGGATTTGGTAGTACCGGAACCTGGACACCTGGGAGCTCTGGACCTGGTAGTACCGGAACCTGGACACCTGGGAGCTCTGGACCTGGTAGTACTGGAACCTGGACACCTGGGAGCTCTGGATCTGGTAGTACTGGGACCTGGAACCCTGGGAGCTCTGGATCTGGAAGTACTGGAAATGAAAACCCTGAGAGCTCTAGACCTGGTAATACTGGAACCTGGAATTCTGGCAGCTCTGGAAGTGTAAGTACTGGGACTTGGACCTCTGGGAGCTCTGCAACTGGTAGTACTGGACATTGGAACTCTGGATCTGGAAGCTTTAGGCCAGATAGCTCAGGCTATGGGAACACCAGGCCTAACAACCCAGACTGGGGCACATTTGAAGAGGTGCCAGGAAATGTAAGTCCAGGGACAAAGAAAGAATACCACACAGATAAACTGGTCACTTCTAAGGGAGAAAAAGAGCTCATGACTGGTAATAAGAAGGTCACCTCTGGTAGTACAACCACCACGCGTCATTTATGCTCTAAAACTGTTACTAAGACTGTTATCGGTCCTGATGGTCACAAAGAAGTTACTAAAGAAGTGGTGACCTCTGAAGATGGTTCTGACTGTCCCGAGGCAATAGATTTAGGCACGTTGTCTGGCATGGGCACTCTGGATGAGTTCCGTCGTAGGCACCCTGATGAGGCTTCCTTCTTTGACACTGTCTCAACTGGAAAAACATTAGAAAGTTTATTCTCATCTAGGTTCAGAGAGTTTGATGATGAGACTGAGTCGATGGACCCAGAATCTGGCATCTTTACAGATACAGGTTCTCATCACGCTGGGGTTCGTGAATTCCCTTCCAGTGGTAAAACTTCAAGTCACAGCAAACAATTTGTCAGTAGCAAGACATACAGCAAAGGAGGCTCCACAATTCAATCCAAGAGCCATACAATGGCAGATGAGGCCTGAAGTGAAGCTGATCATGAAGGAACACATACCACCAAGAGAAGTCATGCTAAATCTCACCCTACCAGAGGTATCCACACTTCTCCTTTGGGGAAGCCTTCCCTGTCCCCCTAGACTAAGTTAAATATTTCTGCACAGTGTTCCCATGGCACCTTGCATTTCCTTCTTAACTCTCTGTTAGACTTTATTGAAACTACACTTTTTTGGTCTGTTTTTGTGCTAGACTGTATAAGTTCCATGGGGGCAGGGCCTTTGTCTGTCTCATCTCTGTATTCTCAAATGCCTAACAGTACAGAGAGTCATGACTCAATAAATACATGTTAAATGAATGAATGAATTCTCTGAAACTCTATTTGAGCTTACTTAATCAAATTCTTTCACCATTCAAAGTGTCTGCTGCTAGAATTGTCACCCAATTGATTAATCATGTTTTTAGTATGTGTCTCAGTTGACATTTAGGTCAGGCTAAAACAACTTGTGTCAGTATTAATTGATGCTTAGCTACCTGTACTGGTTACTTGCTATTAGTATGTGCAAGTAAAATTCCAAATCCATTTGAGGAAAATTCCCTTTGCAATTTGTAGGTATAAATAACGCCTTATTTGCATAAGTTCCATCTCACTGTAAGTGCATTCTTCCCCTGTGGAGGGAAGGAAAAAAGGAAGAAAGAAAGGAAGGGAAGGAAACAGTATTTACCTTCTTTAATCTGAGCCATGCTTATCCTTGTAAAGTTAAATGAGAATAACTTCTTCCAACCAGCTTAATTTTTTTTAAGACTGTGATGATGTCCTCCAAACATATCCTTCCAGTGCTCAGTGTGACATTTTCAATGGCGAGCTACCAGGATCCAGTAAGATTTCTTCTGTTTATTGCAATCAAGAAACCAGTTTGGGAGTATAGCTTTTGGTCCAGCAAAGAATGGATGGATCACCGAATTTTTAACTGGACCTGGCAAGACTACAAGAGAGGTTTCAGCAGCCTGAATGACAAGGGGGAAGGAGAATTCTGGCTAGGCAATGACTGCCTCCACTTACTAACCCAGAGGGGCTCTGTTCTTAGGGTTGAATTAGAGGACTGGGCTGGAAAAAAGGCTTATGCAGAATATCACTTCGGGGTAGGCTCTGAGGCCAAAGGCTATGCCCTGCAGGTCTCCTCCTGTGAAGGCACTGCGGGTGATGCACTGATTGAGGGTTCCGTAGAGGAAGGGACCGAGTACGCCTCTCACAACAACATGCAGTTCCGCACCTTTGACACGGATGCAGACCAGTGGGAAGAGAACTATGCAGAAGTCTATGGGGGAGGCTGGTGGTATCAACTGCCCAAGCAGCCAATCTCAATGGTGTCTACTACCGTGGGGGCTTCTATGACCTGAGGAATAACAGTCCTTGTGAGATTGAGAACAGAGTGGTCTGGGTTTCCTTTAGAGGGGCAGATTATTCCCTCAGAGCTGTTCGCATGAAAATTAGGCCCCTTGTGACCCAACAGGCTGAAGGCGTGGGAGTGGGAGCACTCTGTCTTCTTTGCTAGAGAAGTGGAGAGAAAATAAGAAAGGTAAAGCAGTTGAGATTCTCTACAATCTAAAAAATTCCTAGGTACTATTTTCTTAATTTTTGTACTGTAGGCAAATGTACCTGAGACATATTAGTGCTTTGAAAAATAAAGTTATATAAGTTTTTCTTTATCTTTAAATAGCTCTGTGGGTTTTAAAATTTTTATAAGGATATACCAAGGGACATTCAGTATATCAGGAAGGTGTCAGACAGAAGCTTCTCTCTGCAACCTTGAAGAGTATTGGTTTGAGAACTTGTCTTCCCATACCACCCAAAGTCATAAGTCCCTTGCAAGGTAAAAAAGTTATTTTATTCATTTGATTTGAATGGTTTTAAACCAATATTTTAAGGTAAAGTGCCCTGAATCTAACCGTAGCTGACCTTTGTAGTAGAATTTATGACTTATATTTAAAATGTACAATTTATAATTATAATATGTATTCATGTCTTTTGTTATGGAGCAAATTGAGGAAGGCAGGAGAAACATTTTTTCCTAAATAGAAATGAAAATCTGTCCTTTAAATTCTTCCACTAGACATTGTAATGCACACTTATGTTTTTCCCAGGATGTAACCAATTTCTTTCAAAAACACACATAAAATTTTAAAAATATTTAAAAAACAGACATAATTCACACATTACTGAACAATCTCCCAAGTATTGATTTTACTTCATTTTTCTAACAACCATAAACTATATTCTGTGACATGTTAATTATTATTCAGTATAAGTCGTTAGTTTGAAAGCATCTCACTAAGTATGATCTCTGCTATAATTAAAATTCAACATATTTACATTGGTCAATATTTGATTCAAGTTGCATCTTTAATCCTGGTGGCCTTGACCCCTGATTTTTAATTTGTATCCTTTTCTATTAAGAAATATTTGCCATTTTCTCTTGAACATGTATTAAAATATCCTCAGTAATCTAGTATAACACCCTTTCTTGCATAGTTTCTATTCTGACATAACTGCATTATTTCTCAAGGAAGGAGAGACGGAAAGAAGGAGAGGAGAAGGGAGGGAGGAGGAAAATGGAGGCTATGGCTAGGGGCTAGAGCCTGGGGATCAAAAAGGAAATATGCATGACATATGAACCCCAGAGTTCATATGGGGAATTGTAAATTCCTTATGGGGAATTGTAAATCTCTGATACAAACTAAATGCTATACCTTCAAATAGTTAGATACTTGGAAAAGAACTTCTTTGGAATTAAATGAAGCTTTGTTTCTTTCAGCTATCAGAACTTTGTTATCTCTATCCCCACTCCACTTACACTCACACATATGCCTCGACAGAATTTGAGTTGAGACTAGAAAATATTTTGTTTTCCAGAATAGCACACTATGTAGGAACAGAACTGGGTCCTGAAATGAAAGTGATTGTGAATGGGAAGGGCCAGTCACTTCTAATTATTTAAAAGATTTTGAGTTTATCGAAGGATTAGATAAACCTCTTTTAATTTAAGAAGTGGTAGCCAATATTAGCAGGATCGTGAGAATTGGAGATACAGTTTGGTTGTGAGAAAATACATGAAATATTTATTTTCCATTTCACCTTATCTTTAGCCTTCTATTTCACTTTTCCTGAAATTAAATATTAATTTAGCTCCCTGACTCTCATTCACTCAAAAGCCCATTTCGACTTGGTTTTCATACAATTACCACCCTCTTGAAATTGGTCTCCTTAAGTCAATACAATTTTGCAATTCTAAATTAAATGTGCTGCATTCAAGCCTCTTTCTACTTGATCTCTTTTAAACATCTGCTACTTTGCTCTATCCCGCCTCTTGGGCCTGTCCTTTTGTCTTGGTTCCTGTGCCATTTCTTCCTGTCTCACCCTTTTCAGTGTTTTTAACTGGTAATTTCTTCTCAGACTACTTCTTAAATGTAGGGGCAATTACACTGGTGCTCACCTTTTCATTTGGGATTAGGTTTGGCTCATCTGGCTTCAACGAGACTGAAATTCATTTCTCGCTCACAGAAAAGCCTGCAGGAATATGTCCCTGCAATCTTCAGGAAGCCATCATGTTAATTAAAGACTTATATCCTCTGCTTCACCTTGTAATCCAAATATCATGTCCTGTGGCAATTTGGAAGAAAGAGGAAAGACAGAAGGGCAAAGGACTACTTTCTCCTTTTAAGGAACTTTCTTGAGTGTTCTAAACAGCACTTCTGCTTATATTAGCCACAACTTAGTCATGTAGATAAGCTTGGTTGCAGGAAAGGGTGAGGCAAGTCGACTTTTACCTTAGGTACAAGACTATCCTAACTAAAATTGGGATTCTGCTAATAAGGAAAAGAGGGAGAATAGATACAGGAGTCCGCAATTACCAGTCTTGACCAATGTTATCTCGCTCTACCGTGGTTGATCTGACAGTCACCATAGCTTCAACTACTACCAGTGGCCTTAAGCAGGAGACAGACGTTAAGGGAGGTTGGGGAGGGATAACATGGGGAGAAACGCCATATAGGTGATGGGGGGATGGAGGCAGCAAACCACATTGCTATGTATGCGAGGTATTGCTACCTATGCAACAATTCTGCATGATCTGCACAACATGTACCGCAGAACCTAAAGTACTATGTATATATGTGTGTGTGTGTGTGTGCGTGTGTATAGTACTTTATAACTATTAAATATACTGTTAAAGCTTCTTAGCTAGGAATACAAACACTTTCACAAATTAGTCCATTTTCAATCTCTGCAATCATTCATTCTACACATTAATTACACTGAATTTCTCACTGGCACTGAAATACCAAATTCTTTAATGATATTATGCCTTTTCATAAACTACTTAGAAGACACTCATTCACCCCTTTAAAAACAGCTCAAATAATGCTGCTTCTGTGAACCCTTCCCCAGTGCCCACCATAAAATGAATTGTCCTCTAGGCCCTCACAGTTTTTGTTCTTATCTCAAAATAGCATATTCTATCCCTAACTCTAACTGACATATTAATATTATTTGTGGCACTAGGTTATGAACTCCTTTGGGACAGAGCTCATTTATACAGTGTATCCTGTCCTACACAAAATATCTCCCCATTCTAAGATTATACAGTCTTTTAAATACTTCCTTAAGGCCAGGCTCAGTGGCTCACACCTGTAATCCCAGCACTTTGGGAGGCCGAGGCGGGTGGCTCACGAGGTCAAGGGATCGAGACCATCCTGGTCAACACGGTGAAACCCCGTCTCTACTAAAAATACAAAAAATTAGCTGGGCATGGTGGCGCATGCCTGTAATCCCAGCTACTCAGGAGGCTGAGGCAGGAGAATTGCCTGAACCCAGGAGGCGGAGGTTGCGGTGAGCCGAGATTGTGCCATTGCACTCCAGCCTGGGTAACAAGAGCGAAACTCTGTCTCAAAAACAACAACAACAACAACAACAACAACAACAACAAAACCAAATAATTCCTTAAATTTTTTAATGGACTTTTTTCTTTTTTCAGTTTTGTCTTTTGCATGTATGTATTTAATCTAGAATTTATTTTAATATGTCATGAAGAAAGTCTACTTTTGTCTTCTTGTGGATGGACAGCCAGCTATACTGGGATCCTTTACTGAAGAAAGCATATTTTGCCCCTAGAATTGAAATATCCATTTTTTGGTATAAGATTTTCTTGGGATCTATATATAAACTCGCTCCTATGCTTGTACCTCCTTGTTCACATTTCAAGTACAGAGTTTGGATGAAGTAGTTTCCATCCTAGTCCCCATTTTTTCCATTTCTTTTTTTTAGTCTGTAAAATTGTACTTTTAATTTTTACTTTCTTTTGTTGTCGTTGTTCTGAGACTACTTAGAGAACTTTTTCTTAATTTCCAATGTTTTCATTTTAAAATCATATTTGTTATTTTTTAGGGGGTTAAAGTGAGTCATCTTTCAATCATTTGTTTTCAAGTATTTTATAAATTTTGTTGATTTAACCAACTGTTTCATTCTAAACATTTTAGATTTTTAAAATTAGTTAATTAATTTTATTGCCGTGGTACAATTATGGCTCGCTGCCACCTCTACCTCCTGGGCTCAAGCAGTCACACACCAACATGTCCAGCAAATATTTTCATTTTTTGTAGAGACAGAGTCTTGCTATGTTGCCCAGGTTTTCTCTGTAGATGAGTTTGCATTAACTTTTGTAAATGGTTCATAGACGAAAAGAATGTATATTGTCACATCCATATGATATAATATTCCATATTACCAAGCCTGTTGAGGGTATTATTTAAATATCCCATATCTTTTCCTTTTTATGTAACTTTTTTTGAGAGACAGAGTCTCACTCTGTTACCTAGGCTGGAAGAGTGTAGTGGTGGTCCAATCATAGTTCACTGGAGACTCAAACTCCTAGCCTCTCCTTGGCCTCCCAAGGCACTGGGATTATAGATATGAGAAATAGATACGAGATTTTCATCATGTTTGTGAGTGTGTGCATATAAAAAAACCTCACTCTGGTTTTGTGCATGTGTGTGGTCTCTGCATTTAGGGATTCTGATTGTATGGCTCCTTCCTTATACAGTGCATGAAAGTTTACAGCTGTTATATCGTCTTCACTAATTGTACTTTCTATCATTACAAAATGTTTCTCTTTTTTTTCCTGTTTCCTCCTTTCAGAATTGAATTTCACCTTGTCAAATATCAATATATCACTTCTGATTTTCTTTTCTTTGAATTTGTCTACATATCTTGACAGGTCATTTCATTTTCAAAATTTTTTATCACTTTATTTAGAAGACTTTCTCGAAATAACAAATGAATAACATGATTTTATTTTACTGTTGTTTTCCCTTTCATCAGTTTTGCATATCCCTTTATTTTCAAGATTTCGTTTTCATCTTATTTAGAATGGTTTCTTATAAATAATAGATAACTTTTAAAACTCAATTTATTTTACATTTACCTTTATAATATTATTGTTTCCTCTTTCCTTAACTTTTGCTCCCTTACTTATAATGGCCTCTCTCTGTTATCATGCAAGTTCTATCCAGGCTATCCATTTCAAAATAGTTCTTAGTTTAATAAATGGATCAATGAGCAAAATAGATATGAATGTGAAAAGTCTGTCAGGAAAGAACATGGTTTTAAATATTTTTGCTAGAGAGAAGAATGTTGAATTGGTTTTTAAATCCTGGGTCAAGAATAGAAAAAACATCTGAATAGATTTTAATTTTACATCCAGGGACATTTATCTCCATGTTTTAGCCTGAAGCTATCTTTGATGTTCTCCTTTAGTACACCATAGTATATGAGGAAAATATCAAAATTAATTATTCCTTTTTGTAGGCTTTTTGTTTTTTATTGTACTTTAGGTTCTGGGGTACATGTGCAGATCTTGCAGGATTGTTGCATAGGTACACACATGCCGTGGTGGTTCACTGCCTCCACTCTCCTGTCACCTACATCGGGCATTTCTCCCAATGTTATCCCTCCCCAACCTCCCCATGACCTGCTGTCCCTCCCCTAGCCCCCTACCCAACAAGAGACCCCAGTGTGTGATGTTCCCCTCCCTGTGCCCATGTGTTCTCATTGTTCAACATACATTTATGAATGAGAACATGTGGTGTTTGGTTTTCTGTCCTTGTGTCAGTTTGCTGAGAATGATGGTTTTCAGATTCATCCATATCCCTACAAAGGACATGAACTCATCCTTTTTTATGGCTGCATAGTATTCCATAGTGTGTATGTGCCACATTTTCTTTATCCAGTCTATCATTGATGGGCATTTGGGTTGGTTCCAGGTCTTTGCTATTGTAAATAGTACCATGATGGATATATGTGTGCATGTGCCTTTATAATAGAATGATTAATAATCCTTTGGGCATATACCCAGTAATGGGACTGCTGGGTCAAATGGAATTTCTATTTCTAGATCCTTGAGGAATCGCCACATTGTCTTCTACAATGGTTGAACTATTTACACTCCTACCAACAGTGTAAAAGTGTTCCTATTTCTCCACATCCTCATCAGCATCTGTTGTCTCCAGATTTTTTAATGATCACCATTCTAACTGGCATGAGATGGTATCTCAATGTAGTTTTGATTTGCATTTCTCTAATAACCAGTGATGTTGAGCACTTTTTCATATGTTTGTTGGCCTCATATATGTCTTCTTTTGAAAAGTGTCTGTTCATATCTTTTGCCAACTTTTGAATGGGTTTGTTTGTTATTTTTTCTTGTAAATCTATTTTAGTTCTTCATAGATTCTGAATATTAGCCCTTTGTCAGATGGGTAGAT